ATGGGGTGGTAGCCCCCCCTTCCAGCGCTGCCACCACCGCTCACCCTGAGCACAGCCCCGACCCAGCCCCTCCTACCAAGAAGAGCCTGGCACTACCCACATCCCCAGCCTGCAGCAGCAGCAGCCTGCCCTCATCCTGTGCACAGATCTGGGGGGCATATGCCCCCCAAGGCTCCCCAGGGATGTGTGCAATGGCAGAAGCCACCCCCCATGTCCCCCAGCTGAGCTGCTTGTGGCTCTGTCCTGTGCCCAGCCCCAGCCTCACTCACAGCAGAGGCCTCAATTTGCCCCTCCCACCCCAATTCCCTCCCTCCCTCCGCCCCTTCCTCCCCAACAGACTTACCAGCCACATGCTGCTCTATAAGCTGCTGGGCTTCATATTGACAGTTGGATCGGTATCAGCCAATATGGCTCGTTAATAATTGGCCATCGGTATTGGCCAAAAAAATCTTTATCAGTGCACCCCTAATAGAATGGACTGGCTGCTGGACTAATGGAGCAGTTATTCCCTTCCTGTCCCTTTGTGTGGCCCAGGGAGCAGAGAGGTCAGAGGTGTAACTGTGATTGTCTTTGTAGGCTATGAGGAAGGGAACCCTGATGAGTTTCAGTACATGGACCAGGACACAAACCCCAGCAAGCAGGGGGCAGAGCTGGCAGTGGGCAAGGCATACCCCAGCATACTGATGGGCTATGATGATGTTTACAATGACTACTCTCTCCAGGGGCATAGGAAGCCCCTCTCACTCACAAATGGCAATGTGAAGGAGGCAGTCCCAAACAGAAGAAGAAAGAGGCCCCATATGAAGGCAGTTACCCTCACCTCAGACAACCAACGCATCAACAAAACCAGTCTAGAAAGAAACCCACCCATGAGGAGGCCTCACTTAAAAACTGGGGTCAAGGACAATTCCAAATATCCTTCTCAGCATGCCAGGAGCACCCGTGGAAGGCCACTCATCAAGAAAAGAATAGGAGACCCAGGTCCTGTCTCTAGCACAAGTCCTCAGGATGCCTCGGAGCATTCTCCTGGTGGATCTAGGGACTCAGGTGGTAGGATACCAAGAGGGGCAAGGCCTCCTCAGAGAGATCTCAATTCAACTAACACCAAGAACCAACCAGCGGGCACCATACAAGCCAAGAGACAAAGCCCAGTCTCTGGTAAAACCAGCAGAAGAGCTGTAAGTGCTGCCAGCCTCAGCAAACAGACCCTTTACCAAGCACAGTGGCTAAACCAAGTGGAGTCATATATTGCTGAGCAGAAGGTGGCAGATGGCATTGATGCGGATGTGGAGAAGGGTCAAGTAGAGTCTCAGGCAAAGGACAGGCATGAACTTGTAGACCTAGCAGTAGCAGAGGAAGAAGAAGAGATCGAAGGAGAAGTCGAGGGGGAGGAGGAAGGATTTGACTACATGCCAGTGTTTGACCAAGTAGTGAACTGGGAACAGACCTTCAGCACAAGCATCTTGGATTTCCATGTGCTGCGAACAGACTGGATTGACCTGAAGTGCAACACATCGGGGAACCTGCTGCTCAAAGAGAGGGAGGCCCTGGAGGTCACACACATCTTCCTAAAGAAGCTCAACCAGAAGAACAAAGGGTAAGGCACTGTCTCTTGCAATTCCTTGAACTCCCTCCCTCCTTTGGGCTACTGTATCACACTGCATAGGAACCGTAGCCTAGAGTAAGGAGCTGGTAGGAAGAAGAGAGTTAACCCTGAGTGTTGAAGGTACCATGTTAGGAAATGTAGTGAGGGCTGAACACCAGGGTAGGCTGCAAGTGGGACATAAAGTCTTTTATAGCAGGTCCTGTCTAGCCATGGCCAATAGAGGCTGACTGTTGATATCTGGTGGTTGGTGTCAAATGAGTTGACGTTCAGTCCAGGTCCCATTTTCACAGTGAAAACCAGCTTCCTCGCTGGCTCTTTTGTTGTGTCTCTTCAGAAGGGCCAAGCACTGAATGGACATAGGACCTGATCTGAACCTTTAGCTGTAAAGAGAAATAAGGCACGCTGATGAACCTGTAGCTACCCAGCTCTGTCTAGTGACCTGATGCCTCTGAGGCTGTGACTCCAGCACCTCTTAACAACATAGAATGTAGACCCTGAATGGACCTCCTCATTCAAGTACCATTCCCTGCCTCATAAGCAACCACAGCATATAATCCCAGTCACAAACTGGTTAGATTTCTGCCAGCTGTTGGAAGGTTTTTCCAGACCCTACTGGCTATGATACTTAAGAACCTTCTAATTCCCTGCCTAAACTTATTCATGGCCAGTTTATACCCATTTTTTTGTGCTAGTGTTACCTTATACCTTAAATGCTTCTCTCCCCTCCCAGAAACTTACCCCCTGGATACATTTAGAAAGGGTACATCTCTGCTCACTATTCATTTGTACAGGCTTTCACAGTTTCCTTTCAGAAGAGAGATCCTCCATTCCCTTAATCATTCTGGTAACAGTTCTCTGTACCTGTTTAAGAAAGATGAATTTCAACCAAAACCTGGGTGACCAGAATTGTACAGGGCATGGCAGGTGAGGTCTGGTAAAAACTTGATGAGTCCTAGGATTGCATTTGTTTTTATCATAGTCCTCATACCATTGGTGGCTCATAGCCATCCTGTGATCAGCTGGTATACTAAGTCCTTCTACTCTGTCATTTCCAATTGATGAGCTCCTGGCTTAGGGCAGAAATTCTCATTGCTAATGCCTAAGTACATGACTTTGCACTTTCTGCTATTATATTTCATCCCTTTTCTCTTACTCCAGTGCTCAAGGTCATTTGATCTTTTTCCTATAAGATTTTTCTATCCACTTCCATATTGATAATGCCTCCCAACTTTGTGTCCTCAGCAGATTTCATCAGCATACTCCTCCTTCTTGTGCCAAGGCCATTAATGAAAATACTAAAGAAAATCCATCTTCCCAGCACTAAAATAATTTTATTTAATTAAAACAGCTATTTTCTGTGTGGTCTTTACTACTTCTCCATCATCAGTTCTTTGATCTTGGCTGGGACCCCAGATCTAATCCCAAGTGATCAGAGATGGGGCCAGGAGATGAAAAAAGATCCCCACCTCATCTGACATGGGTGAAGCAAAGCTATGGACTGAGAATGAAGGGATTAATAATGTTCTGGGAAGAGGAACCAGCTACGGTGACATTGGCGGGGGGGTGGGGGGTGGAGGCTGGGTGGTTGGTGCAGGCCTGAGGAAAGAGGTGATGTGGGTGTGGGGAATGTGCCTCACCCAGCTGTGCCCCTGCAGGAGGTTCCAGCTGCAGCGCATAGTGAATGTGGAGAAGCGGCAGGACCGCCTACGAGGGAGCCGTTACCTGCTGGAGCTGGAGCTACTGGAGCAGGGGGGACGGCTTGTCCGCTTCTCAGAGTACATCTTTGCACGGGGTTGGCAAGGCATTGGTGGTGATGAGCAGGAGAGGAACATGAGGAACCTGGTTTGGGGCCGCCGGCGCCACTTGATGGGTGTGGCTAATGAGCCGGAGCTGTGCTGGCCACTGGGCTTTTCCTGGAACCATCATGCTGTTGTCCACTTTATCGTGCCAGGTAAGGAGAAGAGGGACTGCCTGGTGCTGGACCCTAGCTTGGAGGTAGTTCTGAGCACTGTGCCAGTCTGCACCCACCTTCAGGCATCACTGCCCATTTCTTTTTGTCTAGATTAAACTGCCTCCAGAAATATAACAGGGCCCCAAACAACCAGTGGGATGAAAACCCAGAGAAATGACCCTCATAATACCCTGGGTTTGGACTCACTCTGCAATGCCAATATCCAGACCCAAACAGCCACAAAACCTGGGGCTTTCAGATCTAGGTTTTCACCATGGGGCCTACTCCTAGACTAGTCCTTGACTCGCACCCCCGATCTGCCTCAGTGGGGTTTGGCAGGAGGCTGCAATCACTGCCAGCCATGAAACTAAGTTTGCTTTAATTTTCTTTCTCCTCCATCATGACAAGTGAAAAACCAGGCCCGCTGGGTACTGCAGTTTATTTCTGACATGGTGGAATTGTCCCAAGTCACCAAGGACCCACACTTCAATATCATCATCACAGACTACAGCAGTGATGACATGGATGTAGAGAAAGCTCTGAAGAGGTCTCGGTTACAGAGGTGAGAGGGCCACATATGCACATAAACTACACACAAGTTAACCCCTGCTCACACGAGTTCTGGTTTTTTGTATGTCCCCTACTCACATAGCACATCCACAGCTCTCTGTATATGGATCATCTGCACTGTATACAGCAGTGATTTTCGACCTTTTTTGACTCAAGGCACTCAAGGCATTAGACTCAGGACACCCCTCAGAAAATGCTAGCTCTTAAATTTTCACTTATTATTCTGATTACAGCAAAATAACACAGCAACTTTTCTGTTGCAAAGGACTCAGAAAGACCATGATAGGTCAAAATGTTTTTAACACTCTGGATTCCTATTTGAAATCTCAGGGTTTATGTTTACACACCTAACAGCACTAACAGTGTGTGACACCCTGTGGTACCCTTCAAAAGGATCTCCCTTGTGGGGAGATCTGTGGCAGCCTGGTTGAGAATCACTGGCATACAGGAACTCAAACACTCAAATAGAGACACTACACACCTATTTACATCGACACACATACCTATAAGTCCCATACAGTGTCACCAGGTATCTCCACACAGCTACCTATTGTACACTCCATCTAGATGCACTTCCATTCTAGTGGTTCCTATGCAGATTTATGAAGTTAAGTCTTTGAATGTTGGAGACAGAAAAGAGCAGAGGAGGTGACCAGCCAGTGATCAATGGGGCCTCACAATCAGCCCACTTAGTGACAAGAGTTGTAGCAAAGATTTGTCCTGGCCCTGTGGGATACAGTACCATCCAGACCTCCCTCAGGACTCTGGAAAGCTGGGTAATGCTGAGCAGTTCTTCTGAGGACAGTTAGCTCGCTGTACTGCAAACAGAGGAACCCCAGGCACAATGGACATTTGTACACGTACCTTTGTCTGCTCTGACACATCAGAAATCCACCACGTTGGAGTCTGTGGAGACCACGAGCTGAAGTGCCAGGTGCTGTGTCACATCCATTTGTATAAACAGTGAAATGCACATCAGTGTGCAGAAAATGGCAGCAGTGCACTTTTGAACTAAAACACCTTTGATGTGTTTTAGTTCAAAAGTACACAACTGCCATTTTCTCAGCGCTGATGCACATTTTGCCATTTATACAAATGCACGTGCTGTGGTGCATTCATGTGTACTAATGCCCAATATGACCTTACTACATACAACTGAAATGTGAAGTAATGTGCTTGTTTGATTTATAGTTAAAATATTTTTTCCCCTCCTTTGTTACTGTAAAATGGAACAGCCTTTGTGTTTCAGGGGAACCAGCTACAAGCAGTTCCTCAGCACAGTCCGTCTGATACCTGTGTATAGTGCTTTGTGTGAATAGAGCCCATGTTATCCCAGGCTCTCAAAGCACCCTTCCAAGGTCTGTCCTGGAGCACAGGTCTCCAGTTAGCTGCCATCTTTGCCCACCAGGCCTTGATTACACTGGAGGTCTGTTGTGCCCTGGAAGGTGTTCACCATGTTGCACAGAGATCAAAGGCAAGGGTGAAAGTGCAATGAAATGATATGCAGATGTAAATAGGAACACCACCAGGAGCTCTAGGAGGGCAGCAAACCAAGTTCCTTTTTCCCCCAATCTCCCTGCTTTTCCTGAGAGAATTCAAGGAGCTAGGGGTACCTGCTAGGGAGCGAATGAGCTGTTCAAGGAGCAGTTGTTGAGTGCCTAATGGACTCCCCCCAATCCCTTTCTTGCCGGCAGTTATCAGTACTTGAAGCTGACAGGGAATTTTGAACGCTCAGCAGGGCTCCAAGCTGGCATAGACCTTGTGAAGGTGAGTGCATGGTAGCTGGGGTGAATGGGGTGGCCAAGGGGCAGTAAGAGCTCTCATCCATGTCCAGATCAGTAGTTCCTTTTAAGCTGAAATCCTTGTCTTCTAGGGAGGTGATGGACCTCGCAGAGAAACGGGCCAGCAACTTTTCTATTCACTCTGCCTCTGCAATGTACACCTCTGCTTTTCTTGTAGCACTCAAACTGCGGACCCAATTAGTCAGGACCTCTGGGTCCAGGGTGGTGATAGCTATGGGCCTCAAGCTCACTGACTTGAGTCCTTTGATATGGGTCTGCCAGTGTAAAAGGAGTCTTGCCATGGGTGAAAATTACACACCAGGGCAAGTTAAAATGGCCTGAGTATGAAAAAGGAGCAGACCCCAAGGGTGCTGGGTGACTTCAAGTCAGCAATAGCTGACTGGAGGTTGGCTTTTGCCTACCTGGGCTGTGGAAGAGATCATCACTGTGGACTTTGGGCATCATTGCACAGCACAGGGCTATGAACTGGCACTAAGTGGACAGTGATGCCAATAGGTAGAAGCTGCAAAATCCAAAGGATTTGCGGTTATCATGAGATGATCAAGTTGATGAGTGTCCATAAGAGGGAGGTTCCCCCCATTGGAGTCAGCAGTGGTCCCAGGTTAGTGGCAGCTAGCGTCAGGTCTATATGACAGATTCCTGTGCCATTGCTTCCAGGATCCACACAGTATCATTTTCCTCTGCGATCTCCACATCCACTTCCCAGGCGGGATCATCGACTCAATTCGGAAGCACTGTGTGGAGGGCAAGATGGCCTTTGCACCCATGGTCATGCGGCTGCATTGTGGTGCATCCCCACAGTGGCCTGATGGTAAGAAGCCAGGGTCTGTGGCACACTCCAGGAGAGTACCTTGGTGTTGGGTTTTGCTATCCCTGTGGGCACCAGAAATAGCTTGGGTATCCTTTGAGTTTTGGATCAGGTCTGATCCCAGGGAGAGATGATTGCCTGCCAGTGGTTTGGCAGGCTAGGGTCCCTGCTTCATTCCTCTCCAGCTGATATCCTTGTCTTCCAGGGAGGTGATGAACCCTATAGAAAGGGACAGGGGCCAAGCATGTTTTCTGTTCTCTGTGCCACAGCAATAGGCAGCACCTTTGCTTTTTCTGTAGCACTCAAGCCACGGACCCAATTAATCAGGGTTTCTGAGTTCAGGGGGTTGTGGCTATGCTCCTTATGCTCATGGACACAAGGGTGCCTTTACACTTCCAAGCGAAGTGGTGCTGGCTCCTACCCTGAGGGTCTTTAAGAGGAGGCTAGATGAACACCTTGCTGGGGTTGTTTGACCCCAGTACTCTTTCCTGCCATGGCAGGGGGCGGACTTGATGATCTGTCAAGGTCCCTTCCGACCCTACCAACTATGAAACTATGAAACATTCCTGGCTGGGATGCAAACATGTCTGATACTTTATTGTTTTCTCCACAGGGTACTGGGAGGTGAATGGATTTGGTCTCTTGGGCATATACAAGTCTGACCTGGATAAGATTGGGGGCATGAACACCAAAGAGTTTCGGGATCGCTGGGGAGGAGAGGATTGGGAACTCCTGGACAGGTAGGGCATGATGTGCAGCCAGCTTAGGCCATGGGGTCAGGAGAGCAGTCCCATTTGACTTCGAGATGGCAGTGACCTGGGGAGGGGAGCAGTGGGAAACAGATGGCACAAAAGAACTCTGTATGCATTCCCAGCAAGGGGGGACACATGCTCCTGAGTAGTCCCTTGGTGATCAGGCCAGAAGAGTTACTACAACTAGACCATCCTGTCATAGTAACCAGTTCAGTAAAGCAGGGAGCTACCTCCAAACTCCTGGCACCTTACAGGCTCTTTCTTGGCATGCAACAGGCAGCTAACAAACATATACAGTTGTTCACATTGGATTTACTTAACCCCACTTCCTGCTACTTCACCACCACTGGGGTCTTGATCTCAGCTGGGGCCGCTTCTCCCAAAATACATGTAAGAAATACCCAGTAGGTAACAGTGGGCATGTCTACATGAGACACTACATCGCTGTAGTGCCAACGGGCACAAACCGTGATGCTGCAGCTACGTCACTGTAGCAACATGCTCCTTCACTATAGTGCATTGCTATGGCAACATAGCAGCTAAAAATAACCGTGCACCCCCAGCCCGGCACAGTATGGGCTGTTACTGCACCATCATTTAGTAGTTCCAAAAGGAAGTACTAAATGATGGTGCAATAACAACAGCACCATAGGGGCACATGTAGATGTGCCTAATGAGGAGGAATGTCATACAAGGTCCATGGGGCAAAGTTAAGTGTTCTGGAAAGTTTGTGATGCAGGGCATCCCTTCAGGCCAGGCACCTCTGCTGGATGCGGCCCAGACCCTTGGACTTGTCTTGGCAGTTCTTTCTTTTCTTTTTCAGCCTTAGCACTCTCTTAGTGCAGACCCTAAATTACAGAGTGTAAATGGTACATATAGTGCTGCGCAGGGGAGCTCCACACTTCATCTCCAGGCGCAGACACTCCTGCCACCCCCACTGCCAACCCTTCTTTCTGGCATGTAACTGAGCTAGGCTCCACTTGAATGTCCTCCTCTCCCTTCTCCACAGGATTTTGCAGGCTGGCTTGGAAGTAGAACGACTCTCACTGAGACATTTCTTCCACCGATTTCACTCTAAACGGGGCATGTGGAACCGACGCCAGTTGAAGACACCATAATGTTTGATTGGCCGAGCTATTCAGTCTGGCATCCCAGCATGCACTTTATCTAGGCCCAGAGTGCACATTCTTCCCTTTCAAAGCCTCATACATGACTGGATTTACACAGGTTTGTGGAATAGGCCAGTCAGAGGAATGGGAACTTCTCTTGTGAGTCATTAAGGCTCAAACACAGGATCTGTGTTTGTGTTGGGGGAGCCTAAGACATGCAAAGTACTGATTATCCCTGACACTGAAAGTACCTCTAGACCCTGATTGATGGCACAATGGAAGAGATGCCACACTGCCTGGAGTACTTGCAGGGTTTCAAAAAAAAAAGAGGAGGGAAAAAGGGAACAAATCCCAGTTACACATAAAATGGATTATGTACAATAATGCAGATGCTGCTTCTGATACTTGAAAAAAAATGACTGACTTCCATGTCTTTGGACAGGGGACCAAAGTAAGTTCTCTGAACTGCATTGTACCTGAATCGCCACGTCCCAGCCTGGCAGAGACTACGTGTGGAGCAGCTGAATTAAAACTTGAAGCTGCCAGTGCTTAGTCCATTTCACCATGCTTTCACTTAAATCAATAGGAAAAACTATACTCAGGTTCAACAAACCATGGGCTGCATACAGAATGTAAACAGTAGGCGGCATTTGCCTGTCATTGCTTGAAGTTAATATTAAGAACAAACTGTGTCGTCTGCCTGAAACTGCTGCTGGGGACTTGGAGAGGCTAGGTAAGGCCACCTCTGTTGTAACTGAAAAGCCTTATCTACAGCTGTGGCCCCGGCAGATGAACAAGCTTGTCCCAATGACACCAGAGAACTCCTAACAGGGAAGAAATGGCAATATTTTATTAGTTGAAATAGTGTAATTTTATCAGCGAAAAGACAAATTGTTCTGACCCTGTTGCTCTGCAGATAAGAGCATCTGAGGGTTAATGTCATAAGTTTCGACTTTGCAGTCATGTTCTTTTGTAGCTATGACTTGTGTAGAGAGCAGGTTGGTGTGCCTTAGCAGAAGCACAAGAGCACCTAAGGATTCTGCACGCATGGAAGGATGAAGGAAGCTTCATGTAGCACTGGTACCATGGACCTGCAGCCTGGTGCTTGCCCTAGTGCAGGATTGTGCAAGTCTCTGAACTGCACTGCTAAACGGATGGCAAGGGTCTATTGTTTCACTGGTAAAAGGACTATGGATGGCGATGCTGCTCAAACACAGTAGAGTCTTGCTCCAATTGAAGTCAACCGCAAGGCCACACTACACAGACTGCTGCTGGCCTCCTACACTGAGGGAGGAGAGCAGCCAGGTGGAAAGATTGCTTCTGATTATCTGCAGTTTGCGGGAATCAGTTGACAGAGTAACACATTTTTAGGACAAATTGCAGGGCTGAGTTGGTGCCTGAATTTTCTGCCTTTCATACAATGGTGATCAAGGCCAGGCATGCATTGTGTGCCACCCCTAAGTTACAATTTCATTTGTCCTTAATGAACCCTGTGGCACCTGACAGGCTCCCCTGCTGCCATTGTTGCAATCTCCAGCAGCAAACAGTAGACTGATCTTGGCACACAGGATTTAGGCCTAGGTTGTCAGCTTGTTTTCTGAGCTGACCCCGCTCTCAACTCTTTGCTTGACAGGAGCAGGGAAAAGTATCAGGGACTGAGCAGAGCATGCCATGCAGAGTGGAGCAGTGTTGATGAACATATAAGGCTACTGCATCTCTTAATCTATTAAACCTTTATATGAATGTAGCCATTTGGGACTTGTGGGGATGAATCCTCCAGGCCATTCCAAATAGCAGCCTCTTGTCAGAAAGAGGGTCCTTTTTTAACATGTGGAGGGTGGTGGCAGAGGAAGATAGATGTCTTGCTGCAGAGGTGTGAGTTCAAGCCTTGGTCCATATTTGTACCCAAGGCCCTTCTCCAGTCAACCCAGCTGTCAACAGATACCTGGTCTTTTGAGCTGGGAAATTGAAAGTGGCTAACTGTGTCACTCCCTTTGATACTGCTGGCTACAGAAACTGGCAGGCCTTAACCCAACAGTGGGCAATTATTTGGGTTGGGAGGCCACTTAATGACTTGGTGACCTGTCAAGGGCCATCCCTCCTCCTTTCCTTCCCCCTCCCATCCCCCCTCAGCTGTGTCCAGTGCAGAAGCCTGAACCCACCCACAGCTTTAACACAACCCCCCTATGGAGTCCCCCCCTCCCCTTTTTCTTCCCCTTCCCCACCCCAGTCTGGACCCAGCAGCTACCGGTTGCATCCACAGCTGCCCAAATGCGACCAGCAGCTTCCAAGTCAGGGGTCTCGGTGCGGTGGGGGGCAGGGCGTACTACAGCTGTGGGTGGGTTCAGGCTTCTGTGCGGGTCACAGCCCACAGCTGTAGCATGCCCTGCCCCCTCTCCCTCCCCTGTACCCAGAGCCCCAACCTGGAAGCTGCCAGCTGCATTTGGGTAGCTGTGGATGTGGCTGGCAGTTACCAGGTCCACACTCGGGGTGGGGCATGCTACAGATGCAAGCGGGTTCATGCTTCTGCTTCCCCATGGGTGGCAGGCCTGGTTGCCCAGCACCATGCAGCTGCCACCTGCCCCTGGACTGGATCCATTTACTTGGCAGGCACCTGTCTGTGGGCCAGATTCAATCAACTGGCAGGTTGGATCTGGCCTGCAGACCATGTTTTGCCCACCCCTGTCTTAATCCAATAGGCCGCTGAACTTGGGTGGACCTATGACAATTTCGTGTTCAGAAACTGTGAAAAAAATCATGAAAGTAGGTTTGTGGGCAGATGGGGCCAACAAATGAAACCTCCCTGTTTTCAGAAATGCAACCTAGGGGGAATTTGTACGTGTAAAAGGTGCAGCTGCGTGTTTCTGCCTGGAACGTGCTGAGGTTTGCTGTTGTACCTCAGAGCCTGTCCTGTCATGCAGCTTCCTCCAGGGGCTCAAGCCTATATGTTCATAGCATGACACACCTCTAGTTCTTGCATTTCCTCCCTCCAGTGGCAGGGGCTGCAGGCTCCCCAGCTGGTTTGAGCTGCCTCTGTAAAGAAATTCCTGTTACACGGCAAATCGGTAACAGAGCTTCTATTCCTAGGAACAGAATACACTATAAATAGTGCTCAGTACTTGTCATAAAGTATCAGGGCTGAATGTAGAAAGTAGGATGCAATTCCCCCTCCATTCATGTCAGTTGTAATATTCCCATTGACTTCAGTAGTGTCAGGATTTCACCCAAGGATTTCTTCTGCTGCCCAATCAAACATGCTCCTTTCTTCACATCTTTCAAGCCAAATTAGAATTGACAAGACCTTTTACCTCCTCAGGGCTTGCTGATACATAGGAAATGAGCTGTAGTGTGTTGGACCAATTTCCAGAAGGGAGATATCCACAGCACAGTTGCAATGTACAGTGCATAGCTTAACAGAGTCCTAATCTTAACTGGTCCACAGGCACTGCCATCATAAACGTGACTAATACTAATTAGGACTAGTTGGCAGACTCAGTGGAAAACCATCAGGGAGAATTCTCCATGGAGTCTGATTAGCCTTGCAGCCTTGAAGGTGGTCACATGAGGTCAGGACTGAGTCTGTCACAGGACTGAGGTCAGGACTGAGACTGGGTAAAGAGAAGATGACATACTGCAGCCCAGTATGAAATTGGTGTGGAAAAGTGAAGGGTTTAATCCAAAGGGTGCATCCCCTCCTCCAAGACAACTTTTTTTGCCCCAGAAAAAAAAACAAGAGTGAAGCAGGAATTGCTTAAGGCTCAGGCAGGTGTCTGGCTTTTCTACAGCGATGATAGGGTCAGGCATAGTCCTTTCCAGGCCACCAGGAATCCTGAATGGGACACACCAAATCTGAGATCAATCACTGCTTTGAAACCATTTGGTTGCTAGGAAAGCAGCTAGTATTGGAGCCACTGCTGTGTGGGGTTCTCTGCTAGCATGCAGGAAGCAAGTCTCAGGAAATTGCAGTGCCCCAAAGTTGACACAAAGGGCTATGGGGAACCTGACTTTACCAAAGCAGGGAAGTTGGCTTCTCCCTACAAATCAATCATGTTTCCATTGTAGGAATTACCAGGAGGCACTGGACCCTTTTCACTCCCTGGGGGATTCTGCGACTGTGGTTGTTCTGCAGCCCAGCACACGGCTCAGGAGAGAACGGGTTCTGTCTGACTATGATAATGTGACTGTTCTGTTGCTGTCATTTTTTTTTGTTTGCCTCGTATGAATGTGTTGTCTTCTCTCGTTGCTTGTGAATGTCTGAAAGGTGGCGCAGCCACCAATGCCTTGTATTTAAGTTCTGTACTGTACCTCCGAATTCCATGCCTTACTGGGGCTTTGTGCCTTCAAGAGGATTCCCAGGCCACCCTCTGTTAGGACAGAGGGATCAACTGGCACCCCGCAGGGTTTATAAATACATTTTTTTTCTTCCTACAAAAGCTCATCTCCATCTGCGCATTCCTCAAACACCCGCCAGCCTCACACTGCAGCTACTCATAAGTCATGTGTTTCCTCTTCTTGTCTCATCCAAAAGAAGATGCTGTTAATGGAACAGAGATCACTGTCTGCCGCAGCCAGCAGGAGGATGGCAATGACCAAGGCAGAAGATGGTAGTTGGGATCAGATTAACATACCCCCCCATTCAAACAATGGGCATAGCAGGTACTGATATAGGGGGACACAGGATCTAGACACACAACACATTAATATTGGTGCAACTTACACTGAGTTTGTACACTGATTACTGTTGTAAGCCAACCCCGGGACCAGACAACCACAGGAAGCTGCTGCAGTAAATGCTATTATAGCAGCTAGCCACTAAGTGGCAAGAGCACCTGTAATAGCTTATTTGCATTGAGAAAACAGCTATCCTGAATTGAATGAACACACAGCCCTTACAGGTTAACTTACAAGGGTGTAGTTTTGTTCCTGCTTTTTACAGAGGTAATACTACACTGGTTTTTAGTTAGTTACAATGATTTATTGCTGCATGTGTGCACCCACTCCTTGCTTATACCAGGGTTCTTTAAAGGTGTTGTGCATCCAAGACAATAGTCTGTTTTTTCTCTAGGCTTCTCTCATAGAGAATGGAATAGACCTAGAGACACAGCATATATTTCTTCCTTCAAGCACCTAGAAGCATAGAGAACACAATAAAATGGATAATGAGAAGGATAGACCAATCTCTGTCTCAGCCAGCAAGCACCATCTCATGGAAAAAACTACAAGAAGGAACCCCAAGCTAAGCTCAGCATCTGACAGCTCAAAAGCCATAGGTCAGCTCTTCTACAGCAATGGTTTATGGAAAAGTAAAAGCCCATTTTGTTCTCTCTGGCCCTGTCACCTATGGGAGTATGAGCAGGGTAGTACAGAGCCAGGACAATATAAACAAAGGGAGATGATGACTAAGTTGGAAGATAAAATGAAGCTGGAATGACCTCTCCAAGGTACAAAAGCCTAGGCAGTGTATATGGAGACACTGAATTGGCCTACATACCAACATTCCCCTTCTCATCCTTGCTGGTTTAATCCAAAGGAAAGGCAGGTGCTAGTACATTTGGAACCAGCTTGGCTGCCAAAACAAAGGAGATTATCAATCTGTCCATCTATTGGGGCTTCACTCCTAGATTGACTGCTGACCAGGGTTAAAGAGTCCAGTCTACCCAATCATGGAGTGGACCTCAGTTCTTCAATGTTTTGGTGGCTTTTCCCTGCTAGGGGTAAGACTCATACCTCCTCTTGAGATGCTCTTCTGCCCAAAGCCATTGGCACCCTAGAGGCTGCCAGGTTATTTAACTGCTGGCCAGCACTCAACATTAACAGTCACAGATAGTACCATCTACTGGCAATTATGGTAGCAGGCTGACCTGACCTGACCAGACCGGACCTGACCTGTCACTAATGTCATTGTGTGTGTGTATATACACCACAGTCTGAAAACTATCCACATGTCTACTGCTTAGAAATACACATCACAGGCCTTTTGCTTAGAGGAAAAATGCTTAGAGGAATCAGTAAGCAATATCTCATAGGTAGGGACCTAACAAAAATGTGGTTTCACATTTTTTGCAGAAAATGTGAAATCAAGCATTTGCCATGAAAAACAACAGGTTCCATGATTTTAGCAGGCTTGCTAGAAAAAAAAGCCCAACTTACCAGCAAGCAAAGAAAAGGGCAGGAAGCCCTGCAGTCTTGGAGCAGTAGGCACAGAGCTACTTGCAGAAGGCAGCAGGGAGGCTGCAAGCAGCTGCACTTAGGTCCGTGGATCCCTGACCTGGCCTGTGGCTGGCAGTGGGTGCATGCATGGCTTAGGGCAGACAGTGGAGAAGGAGCTGGGGCTGAACTACTCCCAACCCCTTCCCTAGTGTCTGCCCTGAGGTGTTAGGTGGAGTTTGATGGCCAGAAACTGTAGCTTAATTACCTCAATTAAGCCTGGGGAAACCATTAATCTACACTTAATAATGGGCTTCCTTGGGTTTAATCAGGGTAATTAAGACATAGTTTTGGGCCATCTGACAATCCTCAGGGAGGTGAGGCACTGCTGGGGCCCCTTGGCCAAACAGAGGCATGGGGGGACCCCACTGCAATAAGCCTGTGAAAATGGCAGCTGTCCCTGTGATTGCTCCATGAAATTGGCCACCTGACTCCCCAAGTTAGGAAGACCCCTAACTATAAGGCAAAGTGCTGCAACGCTGGGAACAGAATAAAATCGCTATATTTCCATTGCTTCTCTCATCAAAGGGTCTCCAAGCATAAATGGAGGTAGCCTCTTTGTACTCTTGTCAGGTAGATGTTTTTATCTCCATTTTCTTGGTACAGAAACTGGCCCAGAAGAGTAAAGGGTTTGAACCTAGACTCCTTTGAGTAAATGGGATTTTCACTTGCAAGTTAACAAGAGCCAGAGCAATGGTTGATTAAGGTTGTGGCAATGGCCACAGATTGAACCATGAAATGCTGATTCATAGAAAGATTTAAAAGCAAAGCGCTCTCTCATTTATCCTTCCTTGATGTACTTCTCTGTGGTCCCACGCAGATTAATAGTTCCTTCTGTGCATCAAATCCCAGCCCACTTGTGGCACTTACCTGGCTTGTGAAGTGTATCTGGATTCTGCATATCTTTAAACACAGACAGCAAAGTGACTTCCAAAGCCCTCATGCTGCTCTTGATACAGGGAGATTTGTAGAAAGATCAACAAGAGGAATGCGAGTCAAGTGTAGTGAGAAAGCCAGCTCCACAGCCATATCACCAATATAATTTATCCCAGTCTGCAGAACAAGGCCGAAATCTCTGATTTAACAAAAATTCATCACCATACATTTCTGGAAGATTTGGAATATCAAATATGCAAGTGACCGTCTCTGCTTATAGGTGAATAATAACACTTGTCAAAGCCAAGTCTACTACAGGCTTAATTACTATGTCAGTATGTCACAGGAGCTCTTTCAAGGAGAATACATGAATATTTTTGTGTCCTTTTCTTTTTATTCCTTTCTATTTAGCTATGATGGGAACATGCAAATTCCAATACTTGTAGGAATCTCCTTTTAATTATCAAATATTTCAGATTTCATCTGTATTAAAAGCTGGCCCTGCCTTCCAAATGAGAAATCCTTTAATAAGCAAAAAAACATGTAATTATGCTTGAAACCAACAGCCAATTTAAAAAAATCTAGTTTTTGAGTGTGACAACAGCAGTCCAAGAATGTTCCCTGCACAAAATAATCTCCTGTTTCAGAATGATCTGGAGAAACACAAAGTCAACTTATTATTTTAAGCCAAAACCTCATTGCGATATAGTAGAGTTCCTAACAGCACTAACACAATAAAAATGTTTTAAAAAATATTCATGTTACTGATAACACTTTAAATGATATCACTGAAACAAAAGTTTAAAACCCAATTCACTCTTCAACATATAAAATATATATTATTATTGTAGTAGGGTTCCCTAACTTCTGCTGCTTAGAAATTAAGAGATCAGCATCAGGGGGGCTGCAGTGCAGCATAGGCAACTAAGGGGCCAGCTGCAGAAAAGTAAGCAGCACAGCAGCAGATACAGAGAAGAGCTGCAGAAAGTTATTCAGGGCAAGATGCCCTGCAGTAAGCTATAGGGGCTGTGCTTTGGCAAGCAGGTAGCTAAGGAACAAATGCAGGACAGCTGGTCAGACTGCAATAGGAGCAGGAGGCATAGTGGGCTAAACAGGAACACCTGGGTCTATCAGAGGTTAGGGGATGGAGCCCAGTATACTTAACGCCTAGCTCCAGAGAGATTTTGTCTGGCCCTAAGCTGCTGTAGAGAAAACTCCTTAGAGACTAAGCTGTTTAGGTGTGGGAGCACAGCCCAGGTATCAAGGGAAGCTGGAAGGAGCTAGTGGGCAGAGAACTGTAGGCTGATGGGACCTGGTGACTCAGGATACTGGTGATTCAGAGGTAGGGTTGTCAACTCTGTTTGAATCTATTCCAGGACATTTCTGGATTGCTGATGTGACTGCATATATCAGTTATGGATTATGGTGTGTAGACTTTGTCAGGAAGGCAAATGCACATTACTGTTATATTTAAAAAATTCATTAGGTTACTGTATAAACTAGATTCAACACAGTATTTGTGTTAACGAATGCCCTATTGCTCATCTCCTGGGTGATTCTTGGCATCTCCTGGAGACTTATATCAAACTTCTGGCGACTCCAGGGCAATCCTGGAGGGCTGGTAACCCTGTCTGGAGGCCCCATAACTGGGTGCTTGGGAGAACTCTACAGACTGATACCTGGCCTGGGCGAAGAGGAGAGAAGCTGAGGCCCAGAAGCTGATGTCTGAGGCAGTGAACCTGGGCTGAGGGATCAGTCACAAGAAAAGGGAAAAGTTGAAGCCCCCAAAAGTGGCTGGGGATTGTTTTTAAAGGGGAAGCACCCCTACAAAAGCATATAGACCCCAGGACTGAGTTTGGGGCAGAGAAGGCCAAGGACTAAGTCAAAAAGGAAAGCACCAGAGAAGCTACTCCTGGTCCCCAGGGACTGCCTCCTCAGTATGCTATTGATAATGTCAAAGGTGTGGCAGGGGTGAGACCGGAGGCGAGGGCAGGCCTGGAGAGTGTGGCAAGTGGGTCTGACCCCAGGGAGCATCAGGTGCTGGGGGCAGACTCACAAAATGGTACTGCTTTATAGTTGAATATATTACTTTTTATACTTCAGCCAGCAGGGTAAGCAGATCTATTTTGCTTGCCAGGTGTAGCCAGGTTCACCCTGTGTTTTGCCATCAGCATAGTATCCCTAGAGCAGGGGTGTAGAGCTCACCTGGCTTTGCAGGCTGGACCACATTCCAGCAGATGTTCTGGAGTGGCTAGAACGGGTGCCGCATGCAACCTGGTTCTGCTCCAGCCACTCCAGGGCTGTGCTGTGTGGCCTTGGAGCTGATGTTGTATTCAGCATGGGCCACAGAGTGTCATGTGGCTGCTCCAGGATGTGAGCTGGAGCAGGTGCTGTTTGTGGTGCGTAGGGCCATCTGGCAAGCCTTGCATGCTGCCTGTAGGCTGCTCTGAGATCCCTGGGCAGCACTGGGGGCCAGATCACATGGCTCCATGAGCCATCTCTTTGAGCCTCCTGCCCTAGAGCACTTCTCACAGGCCTTTGCAGGGATGTTTGACCATAACTTCTACTTGCTGCTGTTTTCAGTTTCCAACACTGAAGAAGAATTGTTTTCCAGATAAATAAAAATTAATATTAAAAACTATTTATTTTTCTAAAAACATACAATAGGTCATGTGAACAATAATACTTGTAAAGCATGCACACACCTCTTGCTTCCCTCATAATAAAAAATGCACCCTACATTTGGGACATTTTGAGTGTCAGTTCAGGGATTACATGTTAAACTTAGTGCATACAAGCCAGACAATTTACAGATACTTAGTTTATACAATAAATGATTGAACCTAGAATTCAGTCCTTTTTAGAAAATGAGCTAAGACTGAATATGAAAAGCAGAGAACTAAAATGAGAGCGAGATGGCATGTGTGCTGCTCTCTGCATAGCCCTCTCTGAAATCTCTCCACAATTTTTACTAGCTTTGAAAATCTAAGGATGTTTTCAGTCTTGCAAAGCTGTACGCGCATTGCAACAGGGCCTGTATAAAAATGACACGTGCTTAATAATTAAAGTTTAACTCCGGGAGTTTTCGGTCACCATTGATAGGCAGGGTTCTGCCAAGGCCAGCATAAAATGGAAGATGGGATCCCTCCCTGTCCATTGCCAGGCAAGCTTCCTGCAAAAAAAACCAAAGGATGCAGGGTAAGAGCACACAGGATTACTCGGCTGTGGAAGAGCTGCATAGACAATTCATAGCAAGGCCTCAAAGATCCTTTGATCTGCTCTGTGCATGTGTTTGCTTCTCTCAACCCAGCCCTCCCCACCTGGCATAAACACGTGCGTTTCATAGTGTCATTCACTGGCAACATGTAGGGAGTACACATGAGTGCATGTGCACCCTGTATGAAAAGGCGCCATTGACACTGCTGGCAGCATCTGTGGGCAGTCAGCGATCACCGCTGGCCACCACCAACACCGCTGGCGGTGTCTGCGTGTGGTCACCGACTCCTGGTTGGTGCTTGCCCCACCCCTGCCTCCACCAGTGCCGGCAGCATCTAAGAGAGCTCCCAAGTTATTGCCACCATGCTCCTGCCACTGCCTCCATGCTCCCACCGCTGCCACCACGCTCCCACTGCTGCCGTGCCCCCCTAGCTGCTGGGGGCACGCGTCATTCATGGTATCATTCCTTATAGAAATCTCTTTAGTTTATCAACATGGGATTCAGTCCAAAAGACCTACAAGTCTTCTGATGTCCAAAGCCAATATCACCTCGTTGAGGTCTTGTGGTCTCATTTCAGCCCTCTGCACTGAATCCAGAACTCCTGCCTCCCTCTATGCTCCATTCCATTTTTCTATGGTCTTCCCTACTGGTCACTGGCCCAGCATCCTTGGTGATGATCAGTCATACAACTGAGGTATATGTAGAACATCAGTTGTATGAACCCTTTGGGTTAGGGACAGACATTCAAAAAGCCTGAGCCTGAATAGAATCGATCTTTGCAGGTTAGTCTAATTTGCAGAGATTGGACTGATTTGCAAGTGGGTAGATATTCATTTTTAAATTAAGAAATGCAGGCATAGCTTGCAGTGGCTCAGGCTAGAAACCAGGTGGGGAGCTAGAGCAGCCCTCCCTTCCCTTCCATAATGCTGAGCTGTGGAGGAGTGTGGCCAGGCCCCAGTAAGACACTATGATTAGGGAGGGGTTTAACCCCCACCCTGGCCTGCACAGTCTCCAGCTTGGATGTGCCTGGTGGGGGATGGGAAAGCAGCCATCACCAGGCTTCCCTCCACCCCTCATGGCTCAAGGGGTGGGGAGTGTTGCCAGACCCTGGCCCCTGGCTAGCACTCTGAGGCAAAGGGAGGCAGTGGGGGAGGGGGGAGGACTGCTTGCATGCAGTGCATGCAAGTGTTGATGATACTGAGATTTTCAATCTCCTTCTCCCTGCTTCTTCATACTGTCTGTAGCAAACTGACAGGCACTGTATTCTTTGCAAACCAGGTCACTTCTCTCACCTTTCTCTGTCCCCTCTTGAACGTTGACAGATTGCAGCCTTTGAAGCAAGCCAGCAGGCAGTTTATCAAAACACTAAGCTTATCAATTCATCAAGAAAACAAAAGTCTCTCATTTGTTCAAGCTCTTCCTAAACAGCTTTTCCCAAGGCATTTGTAAGGAACAATGGAGGGACATTACCAGTGATGTGTTGATTAGTTCCAAAAAGCCCTAAGTGGACACCATTCTATCTGCCTTTGTTCCAGTTAAATTGGAGACATGGACACCTCGCAGCATTAGCTAGCATGGGGGTGGCATGGCCAGATGCGGGCTGAGGTCTGTGACACTTGCATCCCTGCTGTGGGAGGGGGGGATCCTTGCTCTTGAGCAGTGAGTAAGGGGAAGATGGGGAAGGGGGAAGTCAGGCAGATGCTGCTGTGCCTGCTGTCCCCCACCCCTTTCTCAGCCAGCTGTGCTCTGGCTAGGGAGGAAAGGGGCAGGGCCAGCCCTGCTCTCTGGACCAGACAGCACAGCCCAGCCCAGGGTTGAAAAGCATGCTGGGATGCTGGTGGACTCTGATTTAACTTAAACCAGGAAGGGGTCTGGGACAGAAGTTCCATAAACCAGTTTGACCCAAATCCGTTAAGTCTGATACTACATTCAACCAGGTTAATCTTAAACCAGTTTCAGCCATTTTGAAACTGGGTTATGTGCACTGAACTTGTGTTCTGTTACAGGTTTAAACCAATTTCTGATCACTTAAACTGGTTTATGTGTAACTTCTGTCCCTAGCCTTGGAGATTTGACTTGGTGGCCCTGGAGGCCCTTTCCAATCCTGTGTTCCTGTTCTCTCTTGCCCAGACTTAAGGAGTTATGCAAGGTTCTAACTGGATTCAAGAACACAGCCATTTGAAAACCCAGACTCATTCATGTGATTCATCTAAAAATAAAGGTCAGGAGTCAGATTCTTACAAAGAGGGCTACTGTGTACCAGTGACCACTTTGATGAAGTACTTCTCCCACTGCTTTCCTATCTCCCACCAGATCCCATAGGTTCCCTGACCAGATCCCTCTCCCTGTTGACTGGTTCTTTGTACCCTAGCCTGTCCCCAGGACCCACTGTACCCTCCTTCCCACTGCCTGACTCCTATCCCATAGTCACTATGAGTATCCACACTGGTATTTACAGTCTGTTGTAGACAGACTACTACTATCCATCACTTGAGGAAGCCCACAAATGTGCATTTAGAGCATTCTTGGCTTAAACCAAATCAGAAAATTCCCTTTCCCAAGATGTCCCATTACAGAGCCTAGGCAGCCTCTCTCCACTAAATAATATGCATAGAAGGACTTTCTGTTTTGTGTATCTGCATGCATGTTGGACTGGCTGCTCCCCTGCCCCCACCCCCTATCAGCTACGCAGTGATGATTTCCAAGACAACCTTGACTACAACAAGAGGGTACCCTCCCAAAGATGGGTAGCTGGGGGGATTTTATTCCTTCAACACCTTACTCCATTGCTTTCCAGAATCAGTAAGGCCTCCTGAAATTCCTGGTAGGGTAGAGCCCAGTCTTCTGTACTCCAAAGGCTGTGATGAAGATGTTGAGGATGACTGTGATGAAGATCAGAGCTGTGGCAGTGTTGTTGAGCACATTCAGGCGCAGCTGCTTTGAAACATCATTCAGGTTCATCCGTGCTATGAAATGGGTACAAAGCAGAGAGAATCAAAGCCTTATGGCTCAAACGAACCCTGACCTCCAACTGCTGAGTGCACATCGGTCCCTGCCTCTCATTTGCCCTAGGAGATACCCCTTCAGAATTGAGAGAGTGGTCTTACGCATTCTACAGAGGTTGTAGCTCCACTACAATCAACTAAGAGGTCAGAGCAGTGAGAACTAACCAAGGAAGGCCTGGTTTTTCCAATGTGCTGAGTACCCACCCTTATTATCAAGCTACAAATCGGTGATGTTCAACCAGGGTGCTGTAGCATCCAGCTCAAATAGTTGGAAAAAATTCTTCTTTGCAAGTTTTCAGGCACAGATACCCTTTGTCAGGCTGAGAAAGCATTTGCAGTTGGTCTGTGCTCTTCCTGGATGGGATGAATAGTAAAGAAGCCAGAGGCTGGTATGCATGCAAGAAAGCGAGTCAGTGACAATGTAAGTAGGAGTCAATGGGTGAGAGACAGGTTGGGGTGGGGGGAGAGAGGTAGTAACTGCCGGGGTGGTGAAGATATATACTACACCCCACAACGGAACCATCAATATTCCTGGATCTTACATCTGAACCTCCACAAATGTAATATATCTTATCCAATGCACCAAATCCCCTGATGGAAAATATGTAGGAGAGACCAAACAACAACTGCGCACCCAAATGAACGCACACCGGAAATCTATCAAAGGCAAGAATACCCAGTTACCTGTGGGGGCACATTTCTCACAAGAAATCCACTCTCTCTCCAACCTCTCAGTTCTAATCTTCAAAGGGAATTTACAACACACCTTTCACAGATCAGCCTACGAACTTCACTTCATCAGTCTACTGGATACAAAAAATCATGGACTGAATATAGACATTGGATTTATGACATATTATAACCTGCCTGACATCTGACTCCACAGGTACCTTTCCACTATTTACCAGCTGCATTCATTCCCCCTCTACCCTTCCCTCCCACCCCACAACCTGCCTCTCACCCATTGACTCCTATTTATGTTGTCACACACTGTTTTTTTTGCATGCATACCAGCCTCTGGTTTCTTTACTATTCATCCCATCCAGGAAGAGCACAGACAAACTGCAAATGCTTCCTTAGCCTGACGAAGGGTGTTTGTGCCCAAAAGCTTGCAAAGAATTTTTTCCAGCTAGTTGAGCTGGTCTAATAAAAGATATCAGATTCACCCAAAGAACCTTGTCTGTCTATGTCCTTAGACCAACACGACTGCAACCTAGACCAGGGGCAGGCAATTATTTTGGGTGGAGGGCCGCTTACTGAGTTTTGGTAAGCTATTGAGGGCCGTGTGACAGGTAGCCAGGGGCAGAAAAATATTAATTTTCTAAATTTTTTAGGGGCCCCATGGGCCAGATAGAATGGCTTGGTGGGCGTCATCCGGCCTGTGGGCCGCATTTTGCCCACCCCTGACCTAGACCCTTGCAACAGAAGAATTGCACTATTATTTTTCCCTAGTCAAAAAATTAATGAAGTTGCTGTCATGACCCAAAAGGCATGATTGTGTGTGTGCTTCGGCACCAGAATTATCCCCGCCAAGTTGCAGAGCATTGCACGGGAGAGTTTCCTGTTGCAGAGGAAACCCCGGTGCAGGGACGAGTTTCCTGCCTTTTCTGCAGCTTCTTTTGCAGAGTGCATTGCTCAGTTGCAAGAGGAATGCACGGTGCAAAAGAGTTCCTGCCACCGGTATGCAAATTCGTTCCCCGCTATTGACTAGTTCTAAATTATTCACACGTAGCGGCTAGCGATTGGCCTGTTAGCCATATAAAAGGCTTGAGCGGTTTCCGCCCAAGCCGAAGAGGACTCCACATCCATCTCATGGGGACTCTGGGTACACGGCAGGGTAATAGAAACCCTGTGTGAGATCCAGAGGAGCTTGGCGGCCTGATCCACCGCCCACCTCTTCCCGTCTTCGAGCGCGACTTTTATAAGACGTATTTACGATTTCTATTTTGGTGGCTCGTTCACCCACAGCATCCGGAGCTCTGCACCGTGGAGCCTAGCAACCTCCACGAGACCGTCTGTGTTGTCTGTCTGTAACTGCAACTCAATCAAGTTTCCCAGCCTACACCACTGCCATCTCAGTGTAAGTAAACAATCTTTAAAACTACCGATACGCGTTTGTGCCTAATTCCAGCTCAACGGCCTTCCCTCTCCGACCCGGCGTGCCCGGGCTGCTGGCCACAGCCCGCGTGCAGCGCGGAAAAGGGCTCGGGTCGCTCCCGGCCCGCACGGTTGCCTTTTGAAATGCTTTGCTGCTAAATTCAGAAAAGTGATGGAGAGGACTTTGAATCTCTAAAAATGTTGAGAGTCACTACCCAAAAGACAGAGAGGGAGAGGGAGAGAGAGTTACTGCTGCTTATAGCATAGGCACACTTTGTATCAACGTGGCTGACAGTACCAAATAGGAGCTGGGCTTGTGTTTAAGAAGGGCTGATAAACACAGATCATTTATTCAACTGAATGGAGGCTCCAGGCTGAGAGATCCAGACAGCTCTGGAGACTGTAGCCCTCTTTGCAAACCCCAAAGGCAAGATCGGAGTAGGCACAAACAGGATTGGAGAAAATTGAGGGGGGCAGACAAGGGTAGAGACTGACCAGCCTGCACTCACTGATCTTGCCCTCATGACAGCAAAGGGGTGGTCAGGGCTGCAAAGGTCTGTGCTAAGAAAAATGCAGAGAAAAGGCCTTAGGCAGCCTTCCACCAACAGTTCATTACAGCTGAAGAGTGCAGTGGGAGATTCACGTGAGAGAGCAACTGATGTGTTTCGTTGACAGGTTCCAGCAACTGGTGGGAGCCTTGGACAAGGTAGTTTGACAGCTGGTGTTGAAGGCGTGTAGCAGTTGTTGGATTCCCTATCTCCCCCTTCAAAGAGTACAACAGAGATGGTGCTGGGAAAAGAAGAAGGTGTGTGTGCTGGCAGAACAGAAATTTCCAAGCAAAGAGCCTTAGGCACATGGTTGGGACTGGTGTTACTGAGAGGCCTCATACCCTGGAGGCTGACATTACTTGTTGTATGTACAGGACATGTACAAGTGTGGGGGCAGTTAAACACAAGGGTTGGTGAGTATCTCAGGCTGTACCATTCTGGTAGGCCACAAGATAGGGACAGGAGTGAGGAGAGCAGGATGTAGGGTTGCTGAGTGGAAGCTGAGGGAGGGTGGTGTGCAAATAGTGTTGGTGTCACAACAGGGATACTGTGTGGGAATATGACAGAAATACAGTTCTCCTTGTTACAGAGATGCATCAATGTGGAAAACAGAGGTGTAAGGGAGCAATAAAATTCATAACTAAGCTCAGTTTAGCTAAGCACTGGGGAAGAAAAAATGCATCTGGTAGAATTTCAGTTATGAAGAAAGAATGCTGCCCACTCCTCCTGTCATGACCCTGGTTTCAGCTGACAGCAAAAGTGAACACAGCTCAGAGTCTATCTTACCCATGATGATAAGGAGAATTCCAATCACCACTTGGAAGAAGAGAGAGATGCTGATGAGAGCTGCCAGGGTAGCATAATATTGGAATGAAGGCCCCTGCTCCAGCACTGCTTTGAGCTGTGTAACGTTGGCCATGAACAGCGCCACGTCCAGCATGCTCTCTGCCACGCTCTTCTTGGTTGCATAGTGGTTGATGTTGATTGGATTGTCCCTTCTTGAGCCAGGATTCCCCCCCTGAATAGAAGGGAGAATAGAATCAGTACGGTTCCTAAAGAAACACACTGAGCTTTGCCTCACAGTGGGGGGATCCCCCAAAACAGCAGTGACCATGATACAGCACATGGAGTTGTCATCTGGCTCTCCATGGGTCCAGATATTTTGTGCCAGGGGGGCAATGGAAGCCACGGCAATTAATGCTGCTAGAGTCATGGCAATTAACACTGCTCTCTTTTCCTGCCAGCAAATTTCCAGACCCCTAAGGAGCCCTGTGGGCCAGATGTGGTTCTATTTGCTGACTGGGGCCCCGGATCAGCCACACACCATTGCTTTACAAAGCTTTGTGAGGGGACGTTCAGTGAAACCGAAACCATTAAAAGGCAGCACATAATCAACCTGTGGTACTCAATGACACAAAATTAAGAGCATAGCAACTTTGGCTTAGAAAATAATTGGATGGCAAAATATGCAGTGTTACAATAATGCGGACTAACAAAACTCAAAGTTTTATTATTAAATCCTTATTCTTCAGAAAAACCTGAAATTAATAGGGGATGAAGAAGAAGCATTCCCTGTGGACAAGATGTTTCAGGAAAGCCAGCTGCAAGGTTCTCATGCACCTCCTCTGCTTTTGGGTTGGCTACTGTCAATGACTGACACTAGACTGGATGAACGATGGGTCTGACCCAGCATGATCATTCCAATGTTCCTATTGAAACAATTTCACCTTCCTCATCTAAAAGGTTAGGTTTGGAAAAAAAAAGGCACAATGAGCCTGCAAGCATGCATGCATATCTCTAGGTGATAGCAGAGTCATTCAGCAACTGTATATACCCTCTGGTATACCTTTTAATAGATGAAGTGTAAGGCATAGAGATGCTGGGAACTATAGATGTTTTGGGTAACAGTCCTGCAGTAGGCAAGGCATCTGTGGGAGTGGAGCATATAGGGCTCTGCCAGCTATATTAGGCTTGCAGGCTGCCCCTTAGCAGGACAGGATAAAGGGAAGCTGTAACTTGCCATGCCTGTCTGGTGCCCCCCGCTTTGGCTTTTCTAGCCACCCAAAGCTAACCGTGGTCCTGTGGGCCAACAGTTTGCACTAGTTACCTAGACCACCGCTGTTTCTTTCCTGCCATGTCTTTGATGGAAATTTTGATCTTGGCGGTTGCTATTGCTCCTAGCTCAATGGTGTGTTGCCAAGGTCACTTGTTAGCACAAGGATCTTGGGGGTTCCACCTCCGCTGCACCCCACCTAGCACCAAGCCTTTGTTACTTTGATGTAGCATGGATGCCGTGTTGTTACCAGTTGTCATCCTTGTTCAGTCTTGTAGGTCTGTTGTCATCCTCTTGCCCCTCTCCACAGCAGGGCTTCCTGGTCTTCACTTCATGTCAGTGTACTGACTCTGCCAAGTCAATGTGTGGCAGCAGCCCCACACATGGAGGCTGCCACTAACCATCTTCCTCCGGTCCTCCACTCTGGCCATAGCCTGCCCTCGGCTGCTGGGGACTTCCTTCCTGTCAGACTGGAGCATAGGGCTTTTATGGCTGCCTCACTGCCCCAGCTGGCGAATAGGCACTGGCACACACTTACAAAGCGCGTCCATGCCGGCGCCAGCTTTTTTTCTTCATCCTGTCTCCGGGCTCCTGCTGGCTGTGGTGAGGGACACCACAGCATTGCAGGTAAGTCTCACAGCATGGTAATCCTGCCACTGCTGCCCTGGTCCCATGCCTCGGGGCTCTCACCGGTGCCACTGGACCCCCGTGCCTCAGGGGTTCCCTTGCCCCCAACCCAGAAGCACACCTACCTACTCCCATACCCCATCAGCTCCCTTCTCGCCCTGTCTTTTGTCAGCCATGCTGACTGAACCCCTTGGCTGTGCTCTGACCTATATGAAGGCTGCCTCAGGTTAGCACAAGGGAAAAGTAGTTGGTAGAGAAAAAACAGAATTCTTTAATTAGTTCTTCACTGGGAGAATGGTTACCTGGTAGAAAATCTCAAGTGAATGGAACAATACCTGTCATGAAGGAGGCAGATATATCAACAGGATACCATAACAAAATAACAAGGTTGAATTTAGCTTCAGTCCATAGTATACTGGGCCCCAACTCTGAAGAGCTCGGGCTGTCCTTTCACCTGTAGCCCAAACCTTCATTAAGTTGGATAATCAAGCTCTTTACCCCAAGCCAACAAATTAGCTATTATGGAACCACCCCGTTTTAAAGTTGTTGCCAGCTTTTTCCAGCAGGATCTCCTGCTGACTGGCTCTTTAAATCCAGGGGAGAGAGCTGAAGTAACTGGTTCACAGTGCTATTATTCCATTTATCTTAACAGGTAGGTACTATGGTCTCAATGTGGAATAGATCTCTATCAAATTGAGAATCCTATTTTGCAATATGTGCTGACCATGAGATTAAACTTGTACAAGGGTGGCCTGCTTCACAGTGTCCCAGAGAGTGGCCCTACCTGAAGAAGGTGTTTAATATCTCATTGCAGAGCTCCGCTAAGAGCCACCATCAAGTGAGTGAAGGCTGTTGACTTCAATAGTCTTTCTGCTCTTCATATACCCCAATGGAACAATGGTTCCCTATATACAGAGTAGGAGTATAAACTAGGTCATCTAGGGCCCAGTGGGGCCCCAGTCCTGGGTGATGATTCAGAGGGGGTGCTGCCCTGAGTGGGAAGGGGCTCAGGAGGTCTCAGATTTTGTTGTCCAGAGGGGAGAGCAACTGCTTGGAGGCATCCCCTCCACCAAGGAAAAGAGGCAGTCAAAGGTTAAGTATAGACAGTCAAAAAGCCTGAGGCTAAATCAATTCAGTCTTTGCAGGTTAGTCTAAGCGGCATAGATTGAACTGATAAGCAAGTGAACAGACATTCTCTTTTGTTTCTGGAAATGTAGCCACATGCCTGCAGTGGCCCAGGCCAGATGCCAGGGGGCACTAGAGCATGCCTCCCTTCTGGGCTGGAGCAGATCACTTGGGCCAAAACTTAAATCAGTTAAGTCTGATGCTGCATCTATCCAGGTTTACCTTATACTGGTTTCAGCCATTTTGAAAGCCGTATATGTGCACTGAATTTCTGTTGTGTTACAGATTTGAACCAGTTTCTGATCACTTTTACTGATTTATGTGTAATTTCTGTCCCTAGCCCAAAGGCTAAGCTGGGAGCGTGTCCTAGTGTTCCACAGCTAAAACAGATTAGCCAGACCCAGATGCCTTAGAATGATATAGCAATACGGATCCATGTGCAATAGTCTGGAGACTATACAAGGCCAGGTGGAAACAATTGTATGTGGTTCCTTTTATGTGGCTTCCTTCTGTTTATTTTTTTTCTCTCCTGCCAGAAGAGGCAGCCCATTGTCTCAGTACAGTAACACTGAGCATTTGTAGGTTCCTTTATGTAATGATGAGTTAAGGATGTGAGAACAATGAAGCTAACCAAACAAGACAGTGCTTCTAGCAAACAAAGTGACTGGCACAAGTAGGCTGCACCATCTGTTTCCAGTCACTTAGACAGAGATAGAAAAGGAATTGGGTTTGTTTGAATGAAATCATTTCCTTCTTGAAGCGGGTGCTGAAGCTGGTGCAGCAGCTTGATGCTGTGCAGTATTAAAACCTGCTGAGCTTTGTGCTTGGAGGAAACAGGTGATGGAGGAAATGGGCATCTTTTGCATGGATGGAGAGCCATGCCAATTCTGGGTTTGGGGAGTGGGACCAAAGAAAGGGCTATACCTTCAGTGGGTGATCTCTCATTGGCTCTGAGTACTCGGGGTCACTGCCAAAAATCTGAAGGGTCCAGTCAGTGATCCCTGTCCAAGGCCTATGGCATGGGGTTTGGGAAATTTTTGAGCCTTGTGTCAATGAAGGGAATTCACTGTAGTGTAATCAAATACCAAAATGATTCTCTGAAAGTTGGTATTGTTCCAGAAGTTGGACTGTTGGATATAATAACAAATAGCAACTACCAATATGGACCCTTTCCAGGGATGCATGAGCTACATTATCTTTCTTTTACAGACAGGGGAACTGAAACACACAGAAGTGTTTCTTTCAGTTGGCTAGCTTGTACAGTTTGATGACTAGCTTGTCATGTTGGAGCTAGAAACCAAATTTTATGACTTCCATTCCTGTGTTTTATTTGTTGATTATGACAACATTACATATTAAACAATGCTTCCTCCACACTCCTTCCAAAACAACATTGTTAACTTCTGTGCAAAATTGCCTGTGACCTTTGGGAACTGCCCTTTTGTATAAATGTCATATTGGTGATCACATCATGGTGATATTTTTAAGTGAAGGACAGCATCGGTTGATTGGGTTTTTGCAAAATTTCATTAATTTATTTTAAAAAACAAACCTATTTTCAAATTGAGATTTAGTGGATTCCATTAATTAAGTCATTACAAACTAGCATACTGAATTGTCCAGTTCCAATGACAGTATATGCTCACTGTGGCCACAAGAGGGCACACTGAAGAGCCTTTTTAGGCTGAGTCTTTTAAAAGAACTCCATTGCAAGGAGAGCTAGTAGAAAACTATCCACTGAAATAGTTTTTTAAAGGAAAATGCCTTTTGGGTTTTTTTTGTTTTTACTAAACAATTTGTTTACAAATAGTGCTTGCTTTCTGTAGGAAACCTTGGGTTTTTTTCATCAAAACACTTTGGCCAGCATGCTCAGGCTTTTGGTCTCAGCTCAAAAAGGACATGGAAAAAAGTTAACAGAAAGACAAGACTTTTTCCTCCCCTTTTACATCAAAAAATATTTTGTGATGGATTTTTTTTCAGGTCAGCCCTATTTGTATGTCTGTTTGATATGACCCTCTCCTTGGGGAAGGTGAGCACGAAAGTCAGGAAACAAAATATGTGAATGAGAAGCCTCTGCTGGCAGAGGGGATGTCTGAGGAGAGATATTATTGGCCATTCGTTCCAAATGAGCCATTAGGGAATGCCAAATAAAACAAAGTGAGAGAGACGTGTGCACAGGCAACACGCACTCAGAGGAAGGCATAGACATGCTG